GGCTTGAATAGCCTTGCCGTGTTGGCCGTTTAGGTACATTGACCAAGAGCTTTTGAATGCGGAGTAATATGCTCTTTCGAGGCGTTTTTACTCTAGTTTAAGCATTCAGATAGACTGCTGGCTAGCCGCTGGCTTTGTATTGATCCAAGATACGTGAACAAGCATACACTAACAAGTGAGGCTGAAAACCTATCCGCTCTTAACTGTTCTGTTTGTTTATTCCAGGAGTAGAGACTTATGGAACACTTTTTGGGACCGAACGCTCATAAGTGCAGTAATGTTGGCAACCACATTCTCACCAAACCCAGACTGGGTTCGCCCATGACATGCTTTATAGAAACTAGTGGGTTTACTGTGAAAAGAAACGGAGTAGCAAATTGGCAGACGAGGTTACGAGGTGCCTCTTAGTGCCAGCCATAGAAAAAAAGTATTTCTGTGCGGAGTTTCCGGATCAGGTAGGTCTAGCTCTTCGCATAAGATAAGTATCTCATCGAAATTGAAGATCTATCCTGAACCTCACATTCCCTGCGCCACCTCCACAAGCAATTTCTATAGACGAAGATGAAGATTGGAATGATCCTTGTCGGCTTATTTTCCATAATCGTTTAATGGTGATCGGCCCATCTTATATTCAGGCCTCAGGTCTGAATTATGAAGAAAATGACTGCTTTCGTCTCCCCTCTTATTGTCGGCAGGGAATTTAGGCAGCTCAGAACTAACCAAGAGTGGTTACACCCTCTTCGTGAGGGCAGCTGATGTTAGAATTTATCCGTGTCTTATTTTTTTCCTAGACAATGTAACGACCCAAGTTATTTTGTTTTCCTTGCCTCGAGTCACTAGAGGCAAGTGTTTTTGGCGGTTAAGTGCCTATCTCATGAAGAGCTGGTCGAGTAAGGTACTGTTAGGTCAAGCTTTCTGGACTTAGTGGAGTCTGCATACACTCTGGAATGTGGAAGCACATAGGTTTCGTTGTCAAACATAGAACCTGTCACAGTTTACATAAACGCTACCCCACTACCAATTTAATGGCTTTAATCAACGAGTACACAAACGCTAACGGACGTGGGTTTTTGATGGTCATTTCAGACCTATTGGCGGCCATTAAACTGTAGTACTTTCGGCTGGAATGACCCCAAATCTGAACTCGGGTCAGTTGGTCACACGAAAGTAGTGTTTACAAATTATTGCGTTGGAAGTACGGAGTAAGCGCAGTTCAGTTTTGGTAAACACGTTAGTCCCGTGAATGTCGCTCAACCGTGAAGTGATCATTTTCATCACTCCACACCCTTCGCCGTGACGTCAGCCATCCACTTGGTTGACAAATCGTCTACAATTGTGTTCTAAATGTTCATTCATAATAACGTCCTATTAGATGGCACTGTTTATATGAACAGTTGATCAGTAGTTTAGGTTCGCTGAAAATTTTTCTGTTGAATATTTGAGTCAGTCATTCCAAACAGACGTCTTCCTTACCACTAGCCTATAAGATATGAAAGAGTTGTAGTCGTTTACTTGCAAAGGTTTTTCCAAAATTTTTATTTTTATGGCGTTTCTTTTAGCATACTAGAGTTGTGTTTATAGGCCGAACTTAAATGACACTCATTAGCAGGGCATGGTTTTAGCCAAGACGTAAGCTGTATCAGTATAAACAACCCTTGCCATATGACATTGTTAGCTGTTACGAGGCCGTGGCTATACCACACACCGCGTAATGAACACTTTTCATCGCGCGCAGCTTAGATTTATGGCCCAAAACCTTTACTTGCATAATAAATCAAGCCTAACTTGCGCACACACATTTCACACTTTCATACTCTATTTCATGCGTGTTAAACAGATGTGTTCCAAGCATTTATACGCTGAATGAATGAAAGGTATTTGCATGGAAGAGGAAAAAGGGTTGTCGAGAACCGGATCAATTTGTTTATTGTCCTGAGCTAAATAACTTTTGAACTAAGATTTCTTGCAGGTGTTTTTACGACTAAACTTTCTATATCCGCTAATAGCTCAACCTATGCGCACTACTTGTACTTGTTACGGCTGTGATCATGCCTGATCTAGCCGGCCTCAA